TTTTTTTTTTTTTTTTTTTTTTTTTTTTTTGCATATATAGTAATATGTTGTAACAAAGTTTGGTTTCTTCCCATATGTTAAATGCCCATTATAACCTTTCTATATTTTGTAAACTCAAATTTAGTAGGTTTAAATATGGTAAATTTAATTTTCTTTTTATTAATAACTTTACTTTTATATTTATTATTAAAGCTTTAAAATTAAGGATGTTGACTAGATTTCAATTGACCCAATAAAAAAATAATAAATTTAATTTGGTCGTTACTTTTATATTTTTTTTTATTAAATTCAAAATAATAATAATAATAAAAAGGATTTAGGTTTATTTTATAATGGTTCATTTAATGTTTTTTTATTAAAAAATCGTATTATATTCATTTTATGTATAATATTTTTGGAGAGTATTCCTATGACCAAACAACTAGATCAATCTAGACTGTTCAATTTGATTGGAGTTGAATTTTTCCCAAAAAATAAATAATAAATTTGAGTCAGATTTGGGGGTTGACATTTTTTATCGGATCAACCAGACGAACCTGAAAATAGAGTTACAACTAACCCTACCCTACCTTACTTTTAAGATTATTATGAATATAAAAAATACTTTATGTTTGTAATGTCTCACATTGGTTGGGGAGGAGAACAAAATACCATTTATAAGGGTGTGGAAACCTTTCTCTAGTAGACGTGTTTTAAAGCCTTGAGGGGAAGCACGAAAGGAAAAGTTCAAAGAGGATAATATCTGCTAGCATTTGTAACCAATGTTATTGATATTTTAGATTTATTAGATTTTAGTTATTAATGTAACGTGGATGGTGGACTCAACTCAACCTAATCTATAAAGTTGTAATTAAATTAAAGACAACAAAAATTATTAATTATAAAATAAATTTTATTATAATGGCTCGAAGTTTTAAAATCTTTGTCGGACTCATGCTTATTCGTTTTAAAGTAAATATCAATTATCATTTTTCTATATTTTCTAAACCCAATTTAGGTCTTAAATATGGTAAGTATAAATCTTCCATAATTTATTTTTATTAATTGTTTTATTTTTCTATTTAAGGTTAACATTTTGAAATTAAATGGATTTTTTTCCATAAATAATTTAACCCAACTCAAATGGGTTTGCATCATCCTTTATTCAAATTTTTGTTTTTATAGTAATTCTTAAAATATTTAGATATATTTATTTTCAAATAATTTACCAATATATAAAACCTTTTAAATACCAAAAAATTACTTTTAAGAGGGTGGGAGAATAAATAATTTAAAAAAAAAGGATAATTATGAAATTGTATAAAAATAACATAAATAACATATATATAATCATAAACAATAAATTTGGGTTAGTTCGATTCAACCCAACCTAATCTATAAAGTTTTTGTATATTTGAACCCAACCCAACCCAAATAAGTTTGCGGATTAACTAGAGTTAGATTGGGTCGGATTTTCAAGTTTTCGGGTCAAATGTACACCGCTACAGGAAACAAATTCACATCTAAATGGAATGAACCCAACCTACCCACATACAAGATAGTAGATAAAGATAGGTTCGCAATTGGCCCGATAAACAGATTCTCGAGAAACAAAATTTCACATGATATTAGTATTTTTAGTTTCATAGTATAATAAGTCAATTTATTGGATTTTTTTACTAGCCTCCCCTATCTTACTATGTCCTTTGTTTAATACCCATTTCTCTCGAGTATACCTATCACCAGAAAATAGACGTCACTTTGAGACACATGCGGATAGCCACCCTATTAAAAGGGCGAGGAGCAAGTACCATGATCATCCGTATCTCATACTCAACCCTATGATGAGGAGAATGTACAAAGAAAGCAGTTTGGCTATGATGATGAGAAGGTGTGTGAGTCTTAGATCAGCCATAGGCAACAACATCACAATATAATGAAACCAGACCAAGCTAAGCTACTAAAACATGGAGACAAAAGGTGTTTGGATAAACCAGAATAGTACAGTACAAGCAAACACGTCCGACGCATACATTTCACAAATTATTTCCATACTAGAAGAAGAAGAAAGCCCGACTCGACCTCGACCTCGACCTCGACAACATTCAATTGAAGACATAGAAAGTTCCTAAAGACTCCATCCAGCTCCCCACTCATAACAAAATAGTGCACAGCATAATAACCAACCGCCCTTTCACAACTGATAGGGTGATGATTAATATCATCCAATCCAAACCAAACCAAACCAAACCAAACCAAACATATGATGATGATTTTGAAACTCACCACCACCACCACCATCATCATCATCAGAGGCACAGATCAAAGAGTGTATGTAGTCTTCAGAACAGGCACAAGTTGCCAAGCAGCACAATATTATTATGTCACCTGCCTTTGGATGATATCATACTAAAACCATTTCTCACAGCTAGACTCCACAGTTAAGTAAGTACCTTATTACTGAGTACACCATCTTATCCCACCAATCCCCCAAAACCCGATCAACTTAAGAACACTCATCGAACAACGTGACAAGGCATTTACTTCCCATACGAACAGCTCTTCGAACAACGTTTTCAATTTTCTCTTCCTCCTTTTGCTGGAGAGCTCGGCCAATTTGCTACATCAACACAAGGCAGAGAATGTGTAAAATCATCTCACATATAACCACCTAAGTTTTCTTTTTTTGGCAAGAAACCGAGCTTTCATCGAGTAAAATCCTAGAAAAATAAGCGCCACAATGAAGGGAGACCGCAAATCCGAGAAAAAACGGACTCCAATAATACAAAATCAAACCAAACAGGACTAAAGTAAAAATGTTGAAACAGAAGGTGATCACAAATAGATTTAGGAAGTGAGCAAGCTACCAGAGATGTATATCAACTACAAAATGGATATGGGTCGTATTGTACCTGTATGGTAGCAAGTGCCTGCTTAAATCCAAGGCCAGAAATGCTCCGATAAATTTTTCAACAAGCAGCTAAGGTGGAGTTCAATTTCGCACC